ATGTCATGTGGTAAAAAGGATTCTGGCTGAGAGAGACAGTGGACCCTGGGTTCTATATTACAACAATGTGTGTGAGAGAGCAGTCTTCAAGAAGGTTTGAGAAGAAGTAATGGAAAATATGAATAATTGTGCTGAATAGACTTAAAGCCAAGGAATAAACAATATATCTTTGACATTCTTATGTTATTAAAAAATCCTTCATTCTAGTCAAGCGAACTAGAATGGATTTTTTAAAAAAAGAAAATCTATTCCCCCCCAACCCCAGAATAAAGACAAGTAGTATGGGTTAAAACATGGGCCACGCTTTATTGATTGTAATTCAAAATTTGCCAATCAAAGAGGAGCCTGCGGTAGTGTGGGAACAGGTAAATCCATAAACATATGGTGGAGTCCCCAGCCCCCTGTTCCTGAGGTATTAAAGGCCGCAGAAACCCAGCTGGCCACTAAATAAAGACCCCCAGACCTTGAGCCATCTTTGCTTCATGGCTGTTGGTCTGGAAATGGCTGAGCATATGTTTCTCTCCCAGGTGATGCAATTGCATGATCCACAGCCCTGGGAGGTCTGATGTGCTGTTAGCTTACCTGATCTTACAGTGGGACTCACCAGAAAATACCTGGTTTGTTTGTTTGTTTTTTTGCACTACCTGCCACAGCATAGGGACTAGCAACGCTATGTCCCATGCCCACCATTGAGTTGCTCGAGCTCAACAAGAAGGGCCCCCTTGATGTCTTCAAAGAAGGCATTAAACCCCAAATTGTACAGATGGACTCCATCATTCCAAAAAAACTCAGGCTTATCCATCTGGATCCTTTAGTGACCAATCACCAATCCAAGGACACTGCAGACTGCACTCCAGCCCTCATGTTTAATACCCCTGTGTACCATGTTAACATTGAGGAAAACTCAGGCCTATCCAGATCGATAGGGACGTGGTGGTGCTGTGGGCTAAACTGCAGAAGCCTGTGCTGCAGGGTCAGAAGACCAGCAGTCGTAAGATCGAATCCACGGATGTGTCAATAAAGGTTTTTGATTGATTGATTGATTGATTGATTGATTGATTGATTGATTGATTGATTGATTGATTGATTGATTGATTGATTGATTGATTGATTGAGTCAAATGTCCATTGTGGTACACAGGAAGCATCTTGAACAGTATGCTCCCAAATGTGGCCCTATCTCTAGCACGTTGTGGCTTTGGTGTACGTCCTTAGCGCTTCAGAACTTATTTCAATCTAGGTTCAGCAGCAGGGGGTGTAATAGCATGCCTAGTGGGGTATGTATCTTCTTATGCATTCTTCCCATTCTGGGAACTGCAGCCCAGGACAGTGAGAGAGACAGTGGAGTCTGGGGAAGACCAGTCTAGGTTCTATTTTATAGTGGTGTGAGAGAGCGTAGAATGTGAAAAAGTTTGAGAAGGAGGGGTAAGGAGGTTGAGTTTGTGTGAGGGACAGCAGAGTATGGAGACGTCTGTGTTCTCTTTTAGGGTGGTTAGAGAGAGATAGTTTGAGAGGAACAGGTGTTAGAAAACATGAAAAATTATGATGAATAAACTTAAAATTTAGGAATAAACAATATTGAGCTGGTACTGATTTGGCATTTGACAACTG